GTAAATTTTTGGTTTTGTTTTGATATTTATGTTTTCGTGCGCGCGTGTTGAATCCGGTGTTTGTTCGTCTGGTCTTTGTGTTCAGCAGGTTGTCCGTGTGATTTGATGCAGGAAATGTCCATAAACGAACATATTGACTTAGCTTACCTTAACCCCCATCTTATTTGTAACATATGCCATGGTTACTTGATTGACGCGGTCTCAATAACTGAATGTCTTCATCCATGTAGGCGTATTCATCTCTTTACTTGTAGTTTGTAAGTCTTGTATTGTAAAGTATTTGTCTACCAACAATACGTGTCCAGTGTGTGATATAACTATTCACCAAAGTCATCCGCTTAACTATATCAGGTATGTTATTCTGACGTAATTAGTCATTATGCAGCGCTGATCGAACCTTGCAAGACATTGTTTACAAAATTGTGCCAAATCTTAAAGAAGGTAGTTGTATTTAACAATATTTCGTTTAGCTGAAAGAAAAAGTCGGTCAGACTTCTATCGATTTATCGGTCAATCTCCTCCTCCTTCTGAAGGTAATATTCCTATTTTTAAGCATTTGTGAATTTTGCGGTATGTAGACCTTATTTATGAGCACAAAACTCTTAGTGTCAATCATGTGACGGACGGGTCAGCCAAATCTATCCCAAACAGCGAGTCTCCAGCGGATCCTAATTTCCATCGTAACGATGAGCAGGTTCATGTAAGACTAGAACCAGGCTCCGCAACCCTCAAACCACTGAGCTTAAAATATCTTCGTATTTCTTCAAAAGCCACCGTTACACATCTTAGAAAGTACATCGCGCAGCAAGTTCTTAATGATATGTCCAAGTTTAATGAGGTAAAGCATTCTTGTGGTTTTATTTGGGGTTTTATTCGTTTAGATCGATATCTTCATAAGTAATTGTGAAAAAGGAACCTTTTTAGGTCGAGATCATGTCCTCAAGTTCGTGCAAGTTGTATATTGGAATGATGTAAGCGTTTGTTGTTCAGGTTCTAATTTTTTATTTTCTTTGTTGTTTTTTGAGAGGAGGGTATATTTAAGTTCCTCCATTCTTGCTTATCAAATGTATGTAATTGGGCTCATTTTGTTTAAGCGCCGTTTAGATTTTCACTAACTTTTGTAGGATCGTCCAATGCCTCTGGAATATCGTTTAAGCACAAAATTTTTGTGACATGTTCATATTTCCCCGCATGAACGAATGTTTATTTCATTTCCAACCGTTGTACAGCGCTTTTTCCAAAAAAATCCGGTGTTTTTTGGTTGTCGTCTCTTGATTTGTAATCTCTAATAGTGTTAATTTGGGCTTTAATTAGTTGGGAATGTTCGACTGCTTTTTAGGTTTACTGCCTCTGCTTGGACGAATTGCACGCTTCTAGCTAGAAAGATATGGATGAATCCGTGAATCCGTTTGCAGATTCAGATGCAGTTGCCTCGATCCCTTCGAAGAAAACTTCTCGCTTCACAACCTTTAGTGTTCCGGATTCTAACGACGGATCCACAGTATCAACTAGTTTTGCTCAAAGTTAGTCTTATACTCCCTCTATGTAAATTGATTACATTCTCTACTATGGGTCAAGCATGACATCATCAATGAATTTTATTCGACTTTCTCATTATCATCCATGTTGAAATCGCAGTATTATTTAGCATGCTCGTCTTTATAATGGTTTGTGAATATAGCATTTCTGTATACCTGTCGACATCTTTTACCGAAATGTTACTTAGTACGATTGCAATTCCTATCGTTAAGGGCAAGCTTATTTGTCCTTCTTTGAGATCCACCGACAAAAATTATTCGAACCTCGGGGTTTAATGATTTCTACACATCTCAAGCGAAATCAACTGTCCGGAAATCTGAACAGCATCCTGCGCTGCACAAACCTGAGGGGCAGCAGTATGACGACTTTGAGACGATTGATTGGGTGAAGGATATTGCTTGCGATCGCGATCGCCATAGGCGGATTCATTCGGACAGAGTACGATCTTCGGCACCTGTTTGTCTTTGTTTCTGGCCGTGTGAATTGTGGCCTCAGTAGTTTTTGCTGAGTACCTTAGGGCCTTCTGTAGGTGTTAGTGAGTATGTATTTCTTGTAATTCTTCTTAACTAATGATGGTTTTAATTACAAATAGCCGTATTTCGACCGGCTGCTACTGAAATCTATCATATCCAGTTTTGGTACTTGGTTCATTGCCATCATTCGCAGCAATATGATATTACGCAAAATCATCAGGCTACTGATCGTATGTGTAAAGCTAAACTAATTTTGCTTATTATTGGGGCAGAAAACGAGCTCAAACGATTCATTTTTATAAACTTTATGAGAGGTTTTTATCATTACTACCCTCCAGAATACATTTCTTGGATGCCTTCGGATATACTGGAATTCGGCCTCAGGCTGGGTCTGCGTGAGTCTTGTAGGGATAGCCGCAGGTTTGATCGCTGCTTTGATAGACATCGGTACGCCCTGGCTCACTGACCTCAAAGAGGGTATTTGTCTCGACGCTCTTTGGTTCAATCGCGCTCAATGTTGCTGGTCTTCTGCTGTTCCTGGAGAAGATTGCCCTGAGGTTCTTTGACCAAATTTTTACTTTTTTCCATATCATTAGCTTAAAACCAAAGCACTGGGCTTGTGACAAGTTCGCTAAAGGGGATCTTTCTTACATTGGTTATCAATATTTGGGTCTATACGATATCATTTCCCCTAATTCAACGTGCCTGTATAGTCCTTGTTTCTCGACCAGTATGCCCTTCGTATCGAACAGTAAGCATTTATAACGAATTTAAACAAGTCTTGTGCATTAAAGAAAAATCGCTCATTTTTAATACTTAAGTTGATGGTAAAATCCAAACTCTGAGTTTAGGTTTTTAGGTAAGAATGTTTACAAGCTACCCTGAGACCACACCAATTCTTGTTTTAAATAGCACTCATTGTTAAGTCAATCTTAAGTAAATTTATTTGACATCTCTTATTTCTATTTTTGATAAGCCACCTGGTCAGGTAATCCTCTTATTGATCAATGAGTCCTTCTTTCTCCAAACAATGCTAACTAAAGCGCATATTCCCTTAACTATTTCATTGTTCAATCAGCTAGTTGGATTCATTCTAGCTGCTCCATCGTTGAACTGTGTCGTCTCAGTGTAAATGTTCTGTAAGGGTTTTGTGCGGCCTATTTTTGTTTAGTGGTTCCGAAGGTGCTGGCGACAGCCACGGGCAGCATCCTATTTCACAAAACCAGTCATATTTTTTTACATGAGCAAATTTCTCTCCTGCAGTTTTGTTTAATGCTCTTGTTCGCTATCTGTTTACTCTGAGGTGCAAATATACTTAATTTTAAGGCCAATTTATGCGGAAACATAATAGTTGTCGTTTTGTCTTTTTGGTGATTTCTACTTACAATTAGCTAATTAATCTAGGGGCTACGAAATCAGCAGTGTTGTAGGCATGTATTTTTCCGCATCGCCCTCTATTGCTAGTGGTATTCATGGTCGCGATTGGTGATGGACAAAGATCCAACAGGTGACCACCCAGACGCCTATTTCGTAGCCTACGTCATGTTTGTTCTGTGGGCCCTCGCCTTCTCCGCGTTGTGTGTCGCTTTTGTTCGGATGTTTGCCCCCTACGCGTGCGGTAAGCCCTTTGCTCTGAGCACTTGATGCATTTCTAAACAAGCGAACATATAATTTGTTTCGCATGTTGGCATTTCAAAATTCCAGTGCTTCGTCAACCTGCTTGTAGCTGATGTATATCGAGTGCAGCTCTGCACAAAACGATAATGCTCTAATTAGAGGTCACTGACCATTTTGATGCTGCTACTTTTAATAAACTAAGTCAATTTACCATTATCCGGAGGAAACCATGTGTCTACCTAGCAGCACACCCTTCAGTCGTACAGGCGACTCTAGGCGTATCACCCCCTTTGATCAGGCTTGCACGGTGAAATTGAAATGAAATTATGTTTGTAGGCTCTGGGATTCCGGAGATCAAGACGATCCTCAGTGGCTTCATCATTCGAGGCTACCTGGGCAAGTGGACGCTTCTGGTGAAATCGATGGGCATGGTTCTCGGTGTTTCTGCTGGCCTCAGTCTGGGCAAAGAAGGTCCCATGGTCCACATGGCCTCCTGCTGTGGCAATATCCTCTCCTACCTCTTCCCTAAGTACTCTAAAAACGAGGCCAAGAAGAGAGAGGTACCCATACTTACACATACACTCACACAACTACTGAATTCACCTTGGCAGACCTTGCATAACCACACGTAACAATGCAATATCAATCAAGTAATGTTTCGTGTTGATGCGCCACAAATTTAGTACTTCTCGTCTTTATTTTCTACCTGTTTCCAAACTGAAAAGGTAGTGAAGAGCTGTTTACAGAGGCATGACATTAGACGTTCATTCCAGCAATTAGCACCAATTCATAATTAGTGCATTTTAGCTCAAGAAATGTTTGAGCAGAAGTTGGATATATTTTTAGGCTGTTAGAACTCAATTAAACTTATTGTCTTTCATGTCCTGTATGCTTGGATATGCTCGGTACCTTTGCGAAACATTAGCTAATGATACAGTTACCGTCCGTGTGTCTATCGTGAAGTTGATAGGCTTTAGAGTTATGTAGGTTAATGTGTGCTTTTTTGGTTAGATTCTGTCGGCTGCCGCAGCGGCTGGCGTCGCAGTGGCCTTTGGCGCGCCCATCGGAGGGGTTCTCTTCTCTCTCGAGGAGGCTTCCTACTACTTTCCGATGAAGACCATGTTCCGCTCCTTCTTTTGTGCCATGGTCTCCGCTAACCTCGTGCGCATGATTAATCCCTACGGCGACGAGCATCTGGTTATGTTTCAAATCGACTACAAGGCACAATGGCACATTGCCGAACTCATTCCTTTCGCTATGCTAGGCATAATGGGGGTAAACTTTGTGTTTGGAATCACCTACAATTGAGCCAGTCGGCCTTACGGTCGCTTTATTGGACTGCACTATAGGGAATTTTTGGAACGCTCTTTAACCGGTCGAACCTCTTCATATGCCGTCTGCGTAAGACCACCTGGTTGGGCAAGTATCCGGTACGCGAGGTGTTGTCGATCACTCTGGTCACAGCAGTCCTCTCCTACCCACTGCCCTACATGCGTATGAATATGGGCGATCTCATCCGCCTCATGGTGAGCAAGTGCGGACCTGGCGACCTTGGCGCCCTCTGGTGAGTCGTTCCTTTTTGTTTTTATCAGAAGTTTAGCCATATAATTTAATCCTTAGCTATACAACCTACATTAGGAGCGCTGTTCCTAGAAATGTACACTGTGAAACGCTGCTCAAAGAAGTCCCATGTATATGAAAACGAAATTGTGATAAATTCGTATTTCCAGTTTACATGCTCGACCTAATTATCCCTTTTGTATATCATTGCTAATTTCGTCCCTTTCCTATTTCTGGCTGCAGCAACATCTTCAAGTTGTAACGCTCTTGATTAAAGAGTTATCTATAGTTTTCAATTATCAAATCAAATTGCACTATAATAATTTATTTTCAGCTAAGTTGGATAAAAGCTTAGTTTGAGATTCGATGGTAGGTTATTAACTGACGGCATAATGTGGTATCAACTTCCGGACGCAGCGTCGACCACTTATTTGCCTTCTAAACATTTAATGAACTCCACCTTAGCACCGTGTTTATTCAGAAGAATAAGCTATGTGACACCCACCATTGCGTTTATTTTGGTAGGTGAACGCTGTGTTTAAACAGAAACGTTTTCCTCAACCGTTAGCCCCTTGTGGCTCCTTTTCATTTTTGTAACGAATGAAGTGTACATGCATTAGCCCACATTTTATAATGTAGCGTATTTCATACATGAAGACAGGTTGCTATCGCTCAAACAATTACTGCACAGATTAAAACCAGTTACGGTGGAATTCCGTTATCTATGCCAAAACAGCCTTTGGGCATCATTTTTTGCTTTTTCAACCGCCCTCAACCTTAGCGATTACAAGGTGAATCTGAGCGATACACAAGCCACCATGATGGGTAGCTATGCGGCAGGACCTGGCGTCTCCCGCGCCATGTGGATGCTTGCTGTTACGCTCGTTCTGAAGTCGATCATTACTGTCTTCACATTTGGCATCAAAGTTCCTACTGGTTTGTTTATACCTTCACTTGCGGTGAGTCCGCTTTCGGCAGTTGAAAAAATACGTTTACCTAAGCACTGTAAGTAGTGCACTTGCTCAGACCATTCCAATGTGCGCTCTTTCAAGGTGGGCGCCATGATGGGCCGCATGTTGGGCGTTGGGATTGAGCAGTTGGTGGTGTATCACGCGGATCACCCCCTGGTGCAGCGGATGTGCAAATCAGCCCAACCCTGCATCAACCCCGGTCTCTACGCCCTCGTGGGCGCCGCCTCCACCTTGGGCGGCGTGACGCGTATGACCATCTCCCTAGTCGTTGTCATGCTCGAGCTCACTGGAGGGTAAACCAAAATCCCGTCGCTCTCATTAAATCATGCTATCAAATTACTTTCGGTGCAACATCCATAAGTTTTGGGTATAGTTGTGAAGTTTTCAACGTAGTTTGTATTGAAGCGGTGATTGTAGGGGAATGTTAACGTTTACATCGGTTCTTGCAAAGTCTGCAGTTTTTTAACTTGTAAAAGGCGCACGTATCTTTCCTTAAAGATTTCTAATTACAATTTATTATGTTGGCGCAATTATCAAAAATTGTTGCAAATCTGCAATGCAACTCGTTGTTGTTAGTGTACAATCAGATTGCCCTTCTATTTATACGACAAGTAAAATCCTAAAATGAAATTTCAGTTAAGACCTCAAACATTTCCGTTTGATTTGAACAAAAATGACTTCTTGAAGTTGATTTTTTTAGTTTTGCTCCTAAATTATTTTCGCTGACTGTGAAGTTTTCCCGTACTAGTTTGACCTATATTTTGCCGTTGATGGTTGCTGCGATGGTGAGCAAGTGGACAGGAGACCGTCTGACCAACGGAAGTATCTACGAGGAGCACATTCGCCTCAATAAGTACCCTTACTTGAGCAGTCGGGAGGAGCTCACCCATACCTCCATCGCCGCTGACGTCATGCAACCCAAGTTAGCTCCACCCTTGATCTTTTAAGCACTCTGTGGTGTGGCTTGTAGTTGTAGGCTAGATACTTTTCTAAATGAAGCTGTCTTCACGAGTAAATAAGTGCCTGATGGATCATTTGTTCGAAACTACGGCCATATTACACCACAGAAAATGTGAAAATAATGGGCCTTTATTTTCAATTAAGATCACAAACTTCTCCTCTGCTGGTGGTGACGCAAAACTCTATGACTGTTGGAGACATAGAGTATCTCCTTTCCTCTTCAACTTTCAAAGGCTTCCCCGTTGTGGTGTCGGAGGAGTCCCAGTATTTGGTTGGCTGGATCACGAGACGAGACCTCACGCGTGCACTCGGTGAGTAGTGTGCTTCGGATGTATTTTTCCAACTTCCTTTCCGTCGCTTCACCATCTAATGTTGAGGCTACTTTAACATTCCCTGGGTTATCAAGCATTACTTTAGATGTTTCATCGCTAAATATGCATGAATACCAGGAAAAGTGGTTTGGTTTCTTGTACCTATTTATTGTTCTGCTTTTGACAAGACAGAGTGGTAATGGTATACGATATTTTAAGTCCCTTGTAGCCCGTTTTTTTACAATTCCAATTCTTTTATATGACTAACCTTAGGTGCAATTTAAAATCTAGCCGTATGTTGACGCTTTTGAACTTTGTTTCAGAGCAAGAGAAACTTTACAATCCAGATGTTGCTACGGAATCAATGGTCTATTTCACGGATAGCAACAGTGCTGGTGACTTCGGCCTACCTGCAAATGTCGCAAACCTTTCGGCGATTGTCGATCTTGTGAGCTCAGCTTTCGTCATTTCCTATTTAAACCCACTAGCGCTTTACAATGCTGGACAATTTAAATCTAACAAATGGAATGCCAAACAGTTTGTTTTTCGTTTCTTTTGTTCTGTGAATTTAATTTGCGTAAGTTGTATTTTTTGATGATTGTTAGTGTGCAGAGTTTTTTCATCATTCTCCTCTCACTTATTTTTCAGTCTCCAATCACTGTCACTGACCAAACGCCAATGGAAACTGTTCTCGATTTCTTCCGAAAATTAGGACTCCGACAGGTTCTGGTAACCAAGAATGGGTAGGTTGTGGTAATTCCTTTAAACGCACCTGAGGCTTCAGCATTGATAGGATCGCCACCAATTTCTTATAATTGCTTTTCGTTATGGAAACCTATTTAGCCCCGTTTTGCGTTTTATTAACCTAATTTGTGAATTTACTGTCGCTTTGAATATAAATTGCACTAGCTCTCCTGTGTAAGACGAGATCTCGTCAAATGCTTAGAATGCAAGCGCATAGTGAAGAGGCTCGGTTACCCTTTCATTTGGTTATTTCCTGTGCTATGCATTTTCAGATCTCGAAATCGGAGTGTAATATTGCGGCATTTTTAGACCAGACTTTATAGTCAAAAATCGCACAGAAATAATTTGATGGTATTCTTTGACACTATGCAAAGAGCTTACACCCAATATCACCTTCGCTACTGGTGAATGGACTTCGCTCTACCCTTAAAGCATTTTCTTCTTAGAAGGTTTGTGCACTTTGAGTCGACTTGGACATCCTTGTTTAATTTTGGTGCCAATCAAAACTGGTAACGCCAGGCTCTTGCGTATTTGTCTAAACATGGTACTACTTACGTTGAACAACATTTATACAAGCTAGGTTGATGGTCTTGGGTCATGGTTTGACCGTACTTTGCATTTATGAACAAACGCTTTTGACTACAAGGGGCTGGTAGTGAGTTCCACGTGAAGCCTTCTCAATTGAATGAAAACACCTAATCAAGGGAGCTTATTTCAGTCGTTTTGACATCTCCACTACGCATTTTTTAATGCTTCGTTAAACGACAAAGCCCTTCAAAGTTGATGTTTGCACTGTGCTTTGTGCTGTTTTTGTATGTAAATGGTTCGAATGCCCACGCGATCATCCCCCCAGAGCGTCTGTCTCATTTTTGAGACTTGCAGGAGAGCAAGCCTTGCGCAATGGTATCATGAAGTGGTGGATGGTACTGGATGGCATTAGTAACCATGCACACTCATACTTTTCTCATACATTCATTCGTCAAGTAACCACTCAAGCTTTGGTGTAACTGGATTTATTCTGACTGCTCACGCCTAAAGATTTTCACAAATTATTCTCCATTTATTAACAAAATACATTGGAAGCAATGAAATGAGGGCAGTGTTAAACTGGTAGCGGAACGGAAAGACAGAATTCGGTGGTTTTCAATCAAACAAAGCTACAATATATGTTGGCATTAAGTTATTATCTACCTCTTACCTTTAAATGATAAGCAATTGTGAGAAATTGCCATCTGTACTGCTTGTTTAGTAAGGCATATTGCACATATCTGTTGATATCTAAATTCAAAAATGCTACTGATGTGTTCTTCTAATGGAATCAATTTACGCATTGCCGAATATACTTTCACGACAATAAATAGCATTTAATAATAACCAGTATTTAGTCACCAAAGCATTCAACCAATTCCTTGTGCAAATGAAACCAAATTTATGTTAAATTTTACATTCCATTTCCTACATTCGTGTTTTGCACTAAGGCTGCGTTATTAGTGGCTCATTGCAGCATGCATTAAAACGTGCATTTACCCTGTGCCCCCATAATTCACTACCAGTTCATGACTTCATATGGTTGAAGCGTATTTTTGCATATCAGAGGATTCATTGTAGGCTTTCTATGGTCTTGTTGCCTTCCTTTCATCTTTTTTCCCGAACTTTTCCTACCATTCAGGCGCCTTTTGGGGATCATAACAAAGAAGGACGTTCTTCGGCAAATGCATCATTCCTAGCAAAAACATGGTGCGTCACTCGGAGTGCCGAATTCTTGACGTTTCCCCTTCCACTACTGCCTCCCCCTCATGTTCCACGTCATACCTACAATCAGTAATTAACATACCACCCCTTGTGAAGGGTTTTACACGTTTATCTATTGCTTAAATTTATTTAATTCTCATCGGTTTTATAAGGTCCCCTTCACCCTCAATTGCAAGCATTGGTGTTCGGGCATCTGTTGCTCGATCGCTGGCACTTGTTAAATGAAGTAATTTATATCCAATCGACGATGTCTTCCAACTTTTGCATGTAATTACCGAAGTTTGTAACCCATTGAAGATCCTGGCATCTCTAAACAAAATGCGGACATACACAACCAATCAAACCGTGGTTACTGGAGCGATTAAATAACAGTGTTTAAACTACTTGAAATGGTTAACCCAGATGGTATTCAATCCCTGTAGAGTAGTATTGCTTGGTGCAATTTTGGTTCGTCTCGTGATCGTCCTAATCTGTAAAGTCAAGCTTATTTTTTAAATCGTCTCCTATTCTGCCGCACTCATGATAGTTAGAATGCTATTTACCGACGGGTGGGTTAGCTCTTCTCTGCTTGAATGAAGTTGGTTTCAGAAAATTATGCGGTTACGACAACAAATAATTCCACCCTCTTCTGGTGACCGCACGTGTTTTGGGGTGGTGTTTAGTCATTTTCTGGGAGATAAAAGCCCACTAATATGTTGGCACTGAAGTGGTTGCTGAATGGCATGGCCTACTCAACACGAATACAGCAGTCTTAAGCGGTTGTGGGCACATCACTCGTTCTCATGTGCACCTATGGTGGGGGTTTCTTTCGGTTAGTCGGTTTTGTAACGGCTCCAATTGGATTGCTTGCCCTAACTCTCTTTGGAGTCCAGGTTCATTTAAAGCAAAGTTGTCTAACTTCAAGAAGGCAAGGACAGTGATTCGGTGATACAAGTCGGATTTCGTTTATTCGCAATGAAATAGTTAACTATTACTCCGGGACCCGGATTTTTCAGCAGGTACTCGTGTCAGGGCGGGGTAGATGCGTTCCTCCGCACGCGCACACGTTGTTGTCGTGTTCCGCCAATGGGCTCGGCCCGCGTGTGCCTATTGATTGGCTGGCTTTCGCAGGAGGCGGTTGTGTGCTATGCGGTCGCTGTGGTGGCAAGAGCACTGCGCAATCGGTAGCTATTACTTCACTAGAGCAAAATGAGTGAAGATGCAAAAGAACCCCCTCCTCCTCCAATCGAATCGGCTCCACAGTCCACCGAACAGAGGACCAAGTGCTGTACCGTGTGCAATGGATGTGGCTGCAGTAAAACCATCCCCATGAAGGTGCCCATTGCATTTCTTACGGCCTTTTGGGGTTTCCTCACAAATGTGGAACGTGCAATTATTTTGCCCACAATGTGGCTCTATTTCAAAACCTACTGGAATGATCAGGTAGCCAGGACGTGGTATGGATGGACCATGGCTTCATTCAGCCTTTCTGTGCTTCTCTTCACCCCAGTCTATGGTTATGCTGCCCACAGTGGAATTCAAACCAAGTATTTGTTAATTTTTGCTAACATGATTGAACTTCTGGGGAACCTAGCATATCTTGTAGCGCAACAGCCGTGGGTGGTGCTGGCCGGTCGATTCATCTCGGGAATCGGCGGTAGTTGTGACACCCCCATGTATGCCGACATGGCGAGGACCACCACAATGGAGGAGCGGACACCTTACATGGCTGTCACCTATGTTGCCAAACAAATTGGCATTGTCTTCGGTCCTGTTTGCACACTTCTGATGCACAAACTGCATTGGACCGTGGGTCGATTCAAACTGAGTGTCTACAATGGACCAGGTTTACTTATGGCTGCACTTTGGGTTGTTCACACCCTCTTGGTAATTTTCTTCTATCCCATAGTTGAAAAGCCTCCCAGAGATGGCAGTTACATGAAGTCTACCAATGAAAGCTCGGAAAAGGATAAGCTACTTCAGCCGACATTGAAAAAGCGGAGTTGCTGCGAATGTGACTGCAAAGAATGGAAACCCTACACAACTTACACGGTACTTTCTATGTATCTTATGGTATTTGCCACGTACTTTTGCGTAATGAGCTTAGAAACGGTTCTACCACCCGTGGTAGCCGTTTATTTTAATTGGGATGAGGTGAGGGTGAGCTACGTGTACCTCGGTGCCAGTGGGATGCTGATCATCATGTGCATAATCCTGCACGGTCTCTCGAAGTGCGTTGAAGATCGTAAACTAGCCTTGATGGGGTTCGTTTGTCTGGTGTGCGCCTACATTTGGCTCACATTTACGACGGCCTTCATTAACGGACTGACAGTGGAGTTGGGCGCTCCTCTCCTTATTGTTGGGGTGGCGACCCATGTTATCGGGATGCCGCTAGCGCTGGCTGTCACGGAGTCCCTCTACACGAAGATGGTTCCTGCCAATGACCTCGATTGCGCCCTTTCCTACCTGCGCTGTGTCAGCAACTTCGCCTTTCTTCTTGGTCCTCTTGAAGGCGGCATCTTCGTGGAATACGCCTACATTGTCTTTCTCGGAAATTTCCTCATCTGCGCTCTCGGACTGGGTCTCCTGGCGGGAGGGTATCGCCTGTTTCAGCCACAGCTGGGACATACAAAATTGGACCGTGAGACCTACGAGTCTGTTAAATGACACAACTAACTTGAAGTGGTCATGTAGCCTGGTACACTTGCGTGTCCTAACCAAGTGTACCCGTCTTTGATCTTCGTGTACTAGGGTAACTGTTTTATTTTTCTCATCTGTCACCATCAGATTAAAGTTTGAATCAATAAATTATTCATTGCTCCCCCTCAACATTTTATACGGTGCTTATACGATGTCTCTTACACATATATAATATCCCTTTTAAATTATACACTTTGTTTTCATACGCAATTCGTTATACACATCTCCAAAAAAACTAGCATTTATTGTCTTGTTCCTGCACAGCGATAATAATGATATTTTTACTATTTGAGGTATGATCCATTTCATGCCTCCAATCTGGTAAAACGATGAGCCTTAACCATACTTGACAAAGCATAAAATTTCAAATCCTTGAAAGAATTGTGGTCTTAGTAGACAGTGACAGTACCTTATTGCAATGCATCATTCTTGCAGATCCACCAATTTGTGAATGATTTAGGTCAATGCGCTCCATAACCGACTTTATTGTGTGCTATTTTTATCCACTGGATACAAAAGGCAGGCAATTCAGCAAAATTTCCCTTCATGGCAAGGGACGTGTTTATTGCCAAATAATACTCAACTAAGTTAATATTTATGTTGGTATGATGAGCACATTAATATTATTATTTGATAATGAATAGGATTCTGACATTCCCTACATTATTGTGTAAGTATAAATCAATGAGCTCGTGAATGTCTTCTTTCCTCATACAGTATGTGAGGCGAACAAACCGCTTGCTGCTTTAGTATCTCCAAATAGCCGTAGAATTCCAATGGGATAGCTTTTCCATTTGTCATCCCATGTCCCTCCAGAAGACATTAACAAACCACTGTACCATTCTTGTAAATAATTTACAGAACCAAATTACCCTTTTATCCACACCAAAGAAGTTGATGGTAATGCTTAAGATTATTTACGAGCATATTCACTTAATCGCACGAGCTATCTACGTAGAATGATAAGGAAGAAGTGGCTACCATGCTAAAATATTGAATTCACGAACACTTTGCGAAAGGATTGTCTTAGGGACCATGGTTGAGCGTTTTCCAAATAAAATCGTTTTTTCTGTTTTCTCAATGAATCGCGTCGCATTATTACCTTTCGCGAAATCGTATGGCTCCATCTTTCCAAATAATTGTCACAAAATCCAGTCGTGCAAATTGACTTCAATTTAAAGCAATAATTTACTTTCAATCACCCACTCACCTTTGTAGCTATTAGTGACTGCAAGTCAAAACGGGGCCAATTTGATGGACATTAGCCATGACTAGCACTTTCAGCTGAGCCGCAACATGATTTTGGATTTCAGGCAGCTAATAAGGGAAATGTGGTAAGATCCGCATTTCCAGATACTAGACCATTTGTTCTGCACAACTTCACTTCTTCGAACAACCGTAATTTGTAGTCTTTCATGTTCGTTTGAATGGTAGCTGAGTATCGTGTTATTGTAGGCCTATATAGCCGTAACAGAGGGCTTTTTCGATATTTCCGTTAATTCTGTGTGAAATGGGAAAAGAAATTTCAAGCACTGCAAAGCGTTTGATTAAAAGCTGGCGAGTTTATCTAAGCGGGAAAATGAAGGCGCATTGCCAAAAAACACCCGCAGAGGCCTTGCAAAACCTATTCGCGCATTTTAGGTGAAGCTATGACTACCTCCAGTTTTTTTATTATTGAGATAGCTGAGGGCCTGATGGCTAATTTGAATCCTCTGTGACTTTGGTTTCCTTTAGCAATAGGTGAGACTGCGTCCAGAAAACTAGGAAATTACAAGGCAATGCGATTCCGACATTATATGTCAATCTCCAGTGGAATAATGAAATACGTGCGACTACAAGAAATTTATTTTAATGCTACTTGTGCAATTACGGGTTGCAACACAGGTATGCAAAGTGTGGATTGGGAGCGACAGCATTCATGAGAGGCGACCTCGACCGGTTATGCTTCCTCATCCTTCACATGCGTCACAGATTTGAAGCAAGTGCAGACATGTTTTGTGTCTGGTAGAAACACAAGGAGAAGCAGAGCTGGAATGAACAAAATTCCTAATGGTTGTTTGCTCACTAGCATTTTAAAAGGGATACACTGAAAATATACTTAAATTTATCTACCTAAAGCATTTAGCGCTGCGCAAATGTATAAGACAGCGTCAATTTTCTCAAGGATGGGGAAGTATATGGCAAATAGTGTGTATGAAACTCCTCCGAAGATCTAAAGGCAAAAACGTAGTGTGATGAACCATTATTGCCACAAATTTAAGCTTTGAATAACTTTACCCACAGAAGCTGTATTAACACACGCGAAATTGTAATTCAAGTATTTAACACCGAACGCTTTGGCTACCGTCACGAAGACCAGTATTCTGTATCCAGCAATGCAAAGAACAGATACAAAAACTAGCATTGCGTAGAAGAATTTGATCAGTTGGAGCTTCAAACACTGCGGAAATATCGCAAGTCCAATCGTCCAGCACAACGCCACACTCAGAAGGGGAGTCTTAATTAAAAACGGTCTTTTCTGAGAAACCTTGTTAGTCATGAAAGGAAAATGTGACATTTTTAATCAACCGACTCGAATTTATTTGGACTTCGAAATAATTGGCATTGCAAACCTCTGTATCTGGTGAAGCATTCGAAAACTGCATAAATAATCTCTGGCCTCGACTACACAATTATGCACCTTAGAGATTTTGCATTGCCCAGTTTAAATTAGACTATTTTGATCTTTATTATAACATTCAAGCAAAAGTTAGAATCGCTTTACTTTGTAAGAGACTTTATCTGCTAAGAAGCTCCACAGAATGAAACCAACCAAAAGGAATGCCGCCGATGATTCGCCCACGATGCGCACGAAAAGGCGTTCTTTAATTGCGGCGAAACCAATGGACTGTAAGGTAGACATGAACTGCATGAGAAGCAAATTTTTGAATCAATTCATGGGTTAGTGGATAAATAAATATATATGCCTGATGAAAAAAGAGTCATGAATTAGTAGAATATGTGGCATTCCTAATAGAACAAGGCTGTAACTATTATCCACTTTCACAACATTCCATTTTCTCAAAACAACTAATACACTCTCGAGGTGCCCACTTTATAAACGGAGAGAAATGTCATTGCCGGGAAGCACTCAATTAATTGTAACAACCAAAGAATGTAAAATCCTCGATAGTGTATAAGGTCTCTTGGGTTGACGTCTGGACAGGCCAAATTGTCGGTTTTCCTAGGAGGAAACAACACCGATTTCCGTAAACTCATAATTACGAATTTTTGTTAAGAACCGGTGTACACACAGAACAAATGCCACAAATACATGATGTCGCAAGCTGGTGGGTGGGTAACAAGTGCGAAGCATGTCAGTATTTATGGTTCAACGGAATGCATGTTTTGTTTAACTGCACATATACCAGTTAATTAAATTGATATAATTTCAGTAGGATACCTCACACTTATCAAAGGAACGAATTTAAATGGAAAACCACTCACAAAGATACTTCATTTGGATAATCCTCTTCATGATAAAATTCATTCACCTGTAGTAAAAAATTTCTCATTTATTCACTTTACAACAAATTTGAGCGTATACACCTATTTTGCGCTCCGCTATCGGTTCACTTACTTCTTTCTTCTTCATGAGAACAGTTCCCAACGTTTGTACAGCAAATATGATGGATCCGTTGATCATGAAAACTGAAGGGACTTTATCCGGCACCTCACAGTTCGTGCCATTGCTAAAATAATGCGTTACTGTGATATTTATGCATCGACTTTTCGACTTTTTCCCATCTGGTGAAGCGTGTCAACTCCCAAATCACCGCTATTTGAGGCTTCTCATAAATGCAACTGCAGAAACTGCTGCGATGCTGAAAATACGGTTGAGAATATGCGAGAGCTCCTATGTGGATGCCAATCTTGATAAGGGTTTACCTAATTCCTCACAGAATTGAAGAAACACGGATACAACAGATGAAATCCCTAATATTACATCAGAAGTGCTTTTCTTATGGACAAAACGATTGTTTAGTGCTTCCATAATTGCATCAAGAGCAAATAAATGTCATCGCGTTGAACGAAGCTAAAATACTTTGACAGCAAAATCGTGTAGAGAGCGTTGATGCTATAGCCCAATTATGGCTTCTGTTGTAGTACATTTTGAGAATGACTTTGCATTGACACCAACATTTGAACTGATTGTCATGCCTCGAGAGTGCAAACGACGTACCGGATCATCTCCTTCCAACGCTAGGAATCCTTGATTTAATTTGGAAGACAAATTAACACAGTAAATATTTACAATTTATAATGAGTGTTAAAGGGGGAAAGTGCTCAGACTGCGTACAAACGACTTACAGGAAGTAGAAATCGCACTTTTGTGGTTTGACAAGATATGCTTGGATTTGGGAAAATAATATCGAGCCAACTCCGAGTCCAAAAAATACGGAGCCACAGGCCAGGCATTGGTTATTGGGATACCACTAAAGTTAAGATGGCAAGTAGCGTTTAACTTTTGCTACCATAATTGATGCGTCGTAGAAAGCAACTTCCTTTTCATGTATTTTAGAATACGTTTATTCAAAAGGCAATTATTCTACCTTACCAAACAGTTAGAAGCCTGATTATTTTTGGAAAGAGGAAGCGCAATGAGATGCAGCTACCTACCAATGCTTATATATGAAAACAACAGTGCATCAGGGTTGCAAATAATCGAGAACATTTGTTCATTAACACTACATCGTTATACACCTTACCTCGTTGCATTTTGTCATTTTAAGCCATAAATTAATTGCTGCATACGGTCCTGCTCTTGGAGTTATTAAATTAGAAAGATGTCAATTTGGTGTATTTTGGGATTTGCATGATGCTGTGACAAATACGAGGGTAATTTACCTTGTTCGTGCAATTTTTATTTTAAGCTGAATTAGAAACTTGAGGTTAGGAGGGCGGAAATTAAAATGAACGTGATACCAACTTATAGTTTGGTTTTGTTTTATAAAAATATTTACGCAAATAGGAAATCTAATAAGGTGAGATCATCCTTGTTTACAAATTATTCCAAAGCTGATAAAACGTCATATTACCTCGAGAATGACATACGGTGTAATGGAGTAATTTAGACCGAATCCTATGCCGTACATCACGCAGTAGGTGAGCATGAAACATGCATAGCCGGATTTAACACTTAGATGAGACAATAGTATTCCAAGTCTAAAGAAAAAATGAGGCAAAAGAACGGTGAGACCATTTGATTAAGAGTCAAAAAATTTTCCAAAAGTCTTTCGATGTGTTCGTATTTTTCACCATAAATAAAAAGAATATCACTAGCGATTAATGTTTGCCCGTACTGCAAGTGGTTTGCTATTAAGACGTGATTACAAGTAGACAAATCAAGGTACTATTTGTTTGCCAGGAAAATATTTTAACTTTGATCTGATTTGATGGACAACCTCTCTTATATGCACTTTTCTACAGAGGACTAAGTTGACCAACTCGAAGCCCTTATTCTAGTAAAATTTCGTTCTAGTATTTTCTTTAATGTTTTAATCTTATAGCGTTCCACATCTGCACCATGGCAAGCAAAATAAACTTGGATAACTAGTTAAAGATATACTCACGAACAAAACATGGCCGAAAAAAGAAGAGGTACTTTGAAAATATTTCGTCGATCGAGTGCTCCTGAAACGGGCATGGTAATGGCTGAGGTCACCAAAGTGAGAGTTGGGAACCAGCTTGTGTTGATGGGGTCAACACCTAAATTTTGCTTCATTAAGTAGATCGTGATGCTGGGGAGGAATGAGCCTGATTAGGAACTTGGTATTTTTCAATGATTTACAAACCAATGGTATAGTAATATCCAAGGCCAACAAAGTTTAATATTCCTCCGACGAGGACAAAGAAACGTTTTGGAGACTTCTTAAATGATGACATTTCTCTTCTCTCAAAACTACTCTGCCATGGACTGTCTCCATTCAAACCACGTCCATTGGTGCGCTGACATGCCCAATTAATGGAATTCAGTTGTTTTTACTGGTGGAGGGCTGCATGCAGACTCTATTGAGCCGAAAACGGTAAAATTACTCAAAGTAACACCAAATGATATTGTGTTAAAGGTAAAATTTACTAGATTTGTTATTATATGAGGAAGCTATGTTACTAATACACCCTAAGTCCCCGTATTTAATTTCCTGCACAATCAGTATCATGAACAGCGTTTATCCTGCCAGTAGTGGGTTGCTACACGGTCTAGTGATGCATTGCAAAATAACCATCAACTTTTGACTTTGCTACTACATTGAGTCAAACTTTAGTGATTAGTCTCCATTGTAAACCAACTCGTACATACATGAAAGCCTGTGAGATAAATAAAGATAGCGAGGCATATTTTAAGGGATATGTGAGTAGTTGTGTTGTGGAAAAAGTAGTCATTGCAAAAGCGCAGATCTGAGTACAGTTTTGGCCTTCATTTCCTCAAATTTACCATAATGAATCGTTGAAACTGAAGTTTAAGAGCAAACATGCCCAAGGCAGATGGTACTGGCGCCACATTGTGCTCTAATTAATCCATACTGCCTGTTAACGCTGAAAGCAAAGCTTTATGTGATTATGGCGCCGTTCAGGCTTTAAAAAAATCACTTTATTTGTACTTACTTCTTCCAGAAGACTATAGTCAAGGGCGAAATTCTTACCTTAATTGACGCGAGTCCAACTTAACCTTACGGGAATTTGCTTAACGTGTTTAGGTACTTGTGAGAATGGACAAAATATGCAAAAGATATACCCTTAGTAATATGAATTAAATAACTCGTAAATGGGCATTTTGTCAATCAACTTGGTTTGCTGCACTGCTTCTCATATGGCGTAGCAATAAGTAATTCGGTATTTAGCATAACTGTATGTCTAACTGCGCCGGCACTTGAGTCTGCGACATAGACTTCGGGTTAAGCATATTAGCAATGTAATATGATGGTTGTTTATGTTTCGGTTTTTTGAGGAGCTACTTTTCGACTTGGCCTTCGTATCACTGCGAATGGGCCGGCCTTCGGGCCATGGCAGTAGCCCTAATACCTTCTATATGTTGAGTGAAGGTCTCGGGACCCTACAGTAACATATGTTCCTTCACAGTCCTTTGGCTCGTTACATTTTCAAGGGAAACTCGGTGTGGCACAGAAATTATAAGTTAATAATGCTATGAGTTCTTGGCTACATCAGGTATTTATAATGGTCATTTGAGTTAATTTTGGTTCCTTGTTTTCTATACCATGGGAAAACATCCGCCCTAAATTTGTTTATTAATCAAATAATAACATGAAAGACAAGATGATCACACATCAAATAAAGCAACAATTGGACTACTCTGTTGTGCTAGGACTATTCTAAAATAGTGAGGAACTCAGTGTCCAACAGTGATATCACTGTCTCTTCTATGATATTTTGAGCTATCATTTCGCCATGAAGCGGAGCTCATGTTTTCCTCTCCCACATCTGGTATCATACCCTTAAAGAGATTAGAATAACTAAGCAATGGCATCTTGAATTCGAGAAGTATGGTGGATGTTTTCAGGTTATCAATGTTTAAAGGGGGACTGGGATTATTTCCCTTCTCATAAATCGATTAGGCCCTCTCAGAAACATGATTAGCATGAACTAAAAGTTTGTCATTTAAAAGGTGATTATTTGGGTATCTATCCATGCCCCAAAACCAGTCCGTACAACAGCATTAGTTATTAATACTTCATGGGCGATTTGACAACTTCAGCCATCAAAATGACAAGAGGGCGGAAAAGAAAACCTTAGGTTCTGGGAAATAGCGTAAATGAAATGTGAAATCAGGATGGTTGTAGGCATAAATCTTAGTTTTGGTAACGGGCTCTTAACAAGCGATCTGCCCTGCGAACCATGCCAGTAGCCCCAACCATCTCAATGCCTCTAATACCTACTCTATATGAGTGTTATTGCAATACGATGGTTGTTTTACTCTCAGTTTTGGAGAAGAGCCACTTTTGACTTGGCCATTGTACCGTGTCGGGTGAGCTGGTCTTCGGGCCATGCCGATCGCCAAAATACCTTCTGTATATCGGATATATACTCTGCCTGAGTATTTTATCTTTTTTCACTTTAGAGAAATCTTAGAACGCTATAGATTGTTGTACTTTGCCTTCAGGGAAGTCTCGAGGAAACACAGGAACTTCAATCAGGGCTGCAACGCGGATGAATAAGAAGTAGTTGGTGTGGTTTGGCAATCAATGAGTAGTTCATATGGAAATTAAGATGTAGCCTCCCGGAACTTCCCTGAAGACGAAAGAAGACGCAATACTCGGGCGGAATATATATGTTCAGCATAGAGAAGGGATTTGGGCTATTGGTATGGCCCGAAGACCAGCCCACCCAGCGAGGTACCAGGAGGCTACTTCAAAGTACAAAAGTGGGACCTCACCAATACCGAGGGATAAACCACCATCGCTTTACAAAGAACTTTTGCGTTGGACAATTATTATGCATTAATGGCGACTTCAAGCGTAAACACAATGGTTACCTTCTTTAAATCACTTAAAGTGTGTTGAAGTATCTATAAATAAGCTTGCAATAAAACTGTGCCAGACTAATAAGAGAATCGCGGCGCAGTTTCTTTTGATAATCAGGAAGTACCTCAATGCGCTTCGGTAAGCAAAAATGTAAGATCCAACTTGAATCAGTGACTGAATCTACAGAAAGCCACTTCTTACACAAGTGTAAAAGCAAGCAAAGGGACTCTTGCTACATTACAAATGAATGTTTATTTAAAAGGCACTTTTGCATTTGCAGTAAGATTGAGGGATTTTCTGATTTTCTTTATCAAACAAAATCTGCAATGTGGCTGATTAGCCCCCTCACGCATTGCTTTAACCCTATTGTTCAGACGACCGTTAGATAATGAGCCGTTATTCAATATTACTACCTACTTATAATGAGAAAGAAAACCTTCCTCTTACTGTCTATCTTATAGATAAGTACATGCGCAGCAAGTAAGTGCCATATCGATGTGACGAGTTTAAAAGTTCATACGATTACGAAATCGTTATCGTTGACGATAATAGCCCTGATGGAACACAGCTAGCTGCTGAAAAGCTTCAAGAATTATATGGTCCTGGCAAAATTGTTTGTTTTCTTTTTCACTTTATCTATAGGTTCTTAAACCTCGGCAAAAGAAAGAAGGATTGGGTAATTGCATGTTTGCGTTTGCTAAATATTCGCGTCATAGGGTCGGCTTATGTGCATGGTTTGAGGTACGCTACAGGGGATTTTGTTATTATTATGGATGCTGATCTTTCGCATAACGTAAGGTTATTTTTGTTAACTACTCTACTATAGCCAAAATTTTTACCAGTCTTCATTGAGTAAGCTCGTGGCTAATTATTTAGCTTTAGATTGCAGAAGTGTATGGATTATGATATCGTAACCGGTACTCGATATGGATGTGGTGGTGGTGTGTGCGGTTGGAATTTAAAACGCAAAATCATCAGGTACTGCTTGCGAATCTTCGTCTCCTATGCCGGCTGTATGTGTATTTATTATTGGAAATTTTCCTGCTCGACCTATAAGCCAGATTATTCTGGATGAGATTTTTCATTTAATCTATAGGGACCGAGACTCACTTTAAACTTGGCTTTCCTTTCGTTAATGTTGCTTATTTTTCAATTCACTGATTTATCCCTATGAATACGCTGATGGAATCCTGAAAAACTGCTTATTTTTCCTTCATTGGTCTAATTTTAGCCGATGTGCTAACTTTCTGGCTCACCTCTTGCTGTTACCCAAAGCTTCAGACTTAACGGGAAGCTTTCGGTAAGATGTTTTGTTAAAAACTCCTACCTATTTTCTAGTTTATACAAGCGGAATGTTTTGTCCGAATTGATTAAGTGTTCTTTTTCACGTGGTTATGTTTTCCAAGTGGAGATGATGGCTCGTGCATCATCTATGGGCTATAAAATCGGCGAGGTATGTGAGTATTCGTCTTACTCTTTCGCAATAGGTTGGCATTTCATTTGTTGATCGTCTTTACGGCGCCTCAAAACTAAGTGGCTCAGAGATCAAGCAATACTTGGCCTGTCTTATTCGTTTATTCTTTACGATTTAGCTTTTCGCTATTTGTAATCTTCAAGCTTAAGTTCATAAATTTACAATAGCTTATGAGGCTCGTTTTGTTACGTTGGCTGTATTCTATCGATTGCTACTGCTCTTGGTGGAAGTGATATTGGCGCTAACAACATCAAATTGTCGGGTTGCGAAGGTGGTGTTGTGATGGATTCGATATTTTTTTGGCGGGTTAGGTTGTCTGGCCAGGTGGCGAGGTTCATGCTGGAGTAGGTAGGGCCGAGTGGAATCGTTATTTTCTTCCCGAAATGAGGCCATAGAAATGCTGAAACGACTTGGAACTGTGGGTTGTCTTTAGCGTTGGCTTACTAACGAATACAACTTTTGTGAATAGCTTTCCAAGTTAAATTGAGCAACCATGAGCAATGGTGTCGAAGTGCAAAGATGCGCAAAGGGGCTTTGGTATGGTTGTGTGAAGGTTTATGTAGCGATTTGACTTCGTGCTTGGCCCTGTGCCACACCAATTCTCGCAGGCTCTGCTCTCCATCGCGTGAATCGCGAGACATGGTAATGACCTTCCAGGTCTTCTGTACTTTAGGATATATACATTCCTTAGTTGACCAGTGTATTACGGCTTAAGCTAAAAATGAAGGAGCTACGTTTGTGGTAGCGGTAAGCAAACCCGTTATGAAAGGACGCGTCCCGATTTTCGTGGCTAGATGCCATACCTTGGCGTCACAAAAGAAGCGGGTCTGTGAAGATTCCTATCAGAGTGGTCAAAAGCGGCGTCAGCATTTGACAACTACTCCAGATACGTGTTATCTAAGAAGGCTAATAACAACTAAGGTGACATCAGACTTGAACCATCTGGCAAGGCCTGTTGTAAACCTGTCTGTGGTG